CTCTCCCAAGCGCGCTGCGCCCAGACTGGAAGGCTCCAGAGCCCTGGCCCCGCCCCCCTCGAGCCCAGGCCCCTCCCAGCGGCAGCCCCACTGCGCGTGCGAGCAGAACAGCCTGGAAAACATCAAGCCCCGCTTCCCCCTGGGCCTTGTGCTGACGCTCCCCCTGCCCAGGCTGCCCAACCTGAACCTGAGCTGGCAGCTGGCACACACCAAGGCCAGACCAGCGCGCTCACTGTGGCCTGTGGCGCCCGCAGCTGCCACAGAAGTGCTGCCTGCGGGGGGTCGTGACAGTGACAGGCGGGCGGGGGGCACAGAAGGGCAGCCGAAGCCTGTCCTGTGGCTACAAGTCTGTGCCTCCCTGAGTAGGGACCGGCGGCTTAGGACAGGCCTTTGCTCTGGGGGGCAGATGTCCGAGGGGAGGCGGGGCGGAGACGGCCAGTGACGCCAGCCGCGCCCCACCCCCGCCCTGTGTGCAACTCTTCCCCCTCGGGCATCTGTGCCCCATAGAAGGGTGGGCGTTGGCCGTGAAGAGCCACCTGCTTCTACAAGGTAAATACAGAAGAGGTCTGGGGAGAGGAAGGGAGCCGCTGTCCCTGGTCATTCAGTGCCACAGGAAGCCGCCGGCTGCGCCGGCCTGGGCATCTGGAGACAAGCGCGCGGGGCGGGCGAGCGCCCTTCACCTGCGCAGACTCCTCCTCCAGCCTCCTCTTCTCCTCCTCGGCATCGATCAGCTTCTGTTTGGTCACCAGGAGCTCCTTGTTCAGGGCGTCTGCCTTCTCCTCGGCCTGAAACAGTTAGGAGACGCTGTCACAGAAAGAGAAGTGAGAGCCGGAAGGAAGGTGGCTCGTCAGCCGCAGCCCAGCTGCAGGACGGAACGAGGCAGAAGCCGCGCGGGAGAGCCGTGCCGACGGTGAACGCGACCGCAGCTCCGCCCTGTCACCGGGACTAAGAGGGACCAGGTTTACCCTCCGGCGTGAACAAAAAACTCGACGAAACATTTGAAACTGTTTCTGACATTGAAACAAATGAGTGGTGGTTCCTGCGGAAGCGACTCCGCCGGTCTAAACATTCCACTTGCCCCTCACACTCACACACAATAAGCTGAGTGGACATCTGTGGACATACTGTTCTTCTCTAAGGTAAGTGAGAGAGGAAAAAAAACGAGTAATGGTCCAAATGGCAAGTGTCTGTGCCCTGAGTCGACGGCCGCCGGGCGACTCCCGGCGTCCAGCTCGGCCGTCCACGCTGCCGCTCCCGCCTGCGCAGCAGACCTGGTGCCTCCCTGGGGCCTTAGTCGGCATTTCCCTTTAATGAATGATGCTGAGCCTATTTTCATGTGCTTTTGGTGATGAATACGTATTTTTATGAGGTAATTCTCCAAATCTTTTGCTTGTTTTAAATGAGGCTGTTTGACTCCTATTATCTAATTACCTGTCTGTGATAAAATGGACGTGGCCGTGCGCTCAGACTCGCCTCTTTCAGT